GAGGCGCGGTGTCCTCTTTGTCGCTGTGCTTTCCCGACATTTTTGGTCTCTGTGTTTCTGCGTAACCTACATTTTCCTAGTGTCGTTTTACAACGTTCGACATTTCTCAGGTGCGGTAGCGAGATCTTGGGCAAGATATTCACGGGGAGGANAACGGTGCTAGGGACCGTATAACCGTCGTTGTTGGGTGGTTTTTCGAGGGTTACCTGCACTTGCGGGCCTCGGCCTCCCCCGGGGAGGGGAGGAGGGGGGGAGGCGGAGAGTAGTTGCTAAAAAAACGGCGTAAAACACCTACTGCCCGTGAAATTCAAAAATCTATAGGTTTGAAAAACGAGTAATGTACTGCTGTAGCCTTCTTTCCATCTTCCATGATTTTACATCAATATTATTTATTTCTCCTTAAATTCCTAAAACCAGCAAGCTGTCAATAGACACTGCGCCGTGTCCCCTGTGAAGGTTACATCTTACAGTACACGACACTACGGAGGGATTCTCCCCGATATTTTGTCGTTGACCCAGTAGAGAACTACAGGGGATGTATTGTAAGATGTAGATTTACCTATACAGATGTTTTTGTGCTTAGCACCAGCTGGCATCACTGATAAATCATCAGTGTATAGACTTATAAAGACTCGAAATAAGTCCAGTACCCAGCCGGTTTTCCTCCACTTACTGAAAAGACTCCACCACATCCCGTTCGACTGTGGGTATATCTCGAATGGGTAGTCTTTCTGTGCGTGTATTTATTTCTCCTTAGTTATTTAGCTGCATTCACCGCACACCTGCTGGGCTGCGGCATGGACGCCGCTGCTGTTCGTGTTGAGTACATTTCCCAAAGTATGGGTCCCAACTTTCGGCGCGTAGTGTATATATTTGTGCATCACGCCCCGAAACCAACGGAGAGCCCATAGCACCTCGTCAATAATCCTCTGTGGTAGTGTTGCAAACCAAGTTTGAACAAAAAGTAATGCTCTTACCATTACAGTCGTCCCCGCTTTAAAAACACCATCTTGAAAGACACTCCCCGCTTTGAGGACACAAAAAAAATCAGAAACATGGTGCCCCGCAGATGTGAAAGTAGGGGGAGGTATTATTTTCCACCATTCGATCCCCCCCAGAAAATGTGCTGCAGCACCTGTAGTTCGCTCTCGTCTCGGAGATGTCCGCTCTTACTTGTAAACACGTGGAAGAGACGGCGAGTACAGCGAAACGGCGTACCTCCTTTCGAAGACTGTGCATTCGTTTACTCATGAAACTCAGTTCAAGCGAAGAGCAAAGGAGGGTGGGGAGGTGCAGGCGACTCTTCGGGATATGTGGCGGGTGTAGTTTTTGGTTTCGAGAGCAAAGCACTTTTATTGCCAATGTTCGTTGTTTGCCTTGGGGGAAATCTCGTGAGGTTGAATTTGGCGTTTGTGTTGTGTTGTGCCTCATTTTAACCTTTTGGGAGGCGCGGTGTCCTCTTTGTCGCTGTGCTTTCCCGACATTTTTGGTCTCTGTGTTTCTGCGTAACCTACATTTTCCTAGTGTCGTTTTACAACGTTCGACATTTCTCAGGTGCGGTAGCGAGATCTTGGGCAAGATATTCACGGGGAGGACAACGCCTAAAAAATATAATAAAGCAAATATTGAAGCCCATATCACACCAGCGCACTACCGTCGTGTACATGTACACACCGGTCGCCCCGGTGGTCAAGTGGGTAGCCTCGCAGCCTGCTAAGGGCCAGGTCATGGGTTCGAGTCCCGGCAGAGTGAGTTTTTTCACTCCATAAATCCTGGTCTAGGATGAAAACGACGCGCTGCAAAGCTCGTTTGTTAGTAAACCAAAATCGACTTCGTAAGTCGCAAAGGAAGGGATTGCTGTACCCTTCTCGCGATAAAAATACCAGGCAGGACCGCAGGAGGGGGTCCAGCCCCCCCCTCCTATGTGACCCCGGTTGGGTCGTCTAGCTGGTAGAAGTGGAGGATAGGGGCCAGACGGGTAGACGACAGAGTCCAATGATGGGGAAAAAAAAAAAATGTACGATGCGTAGGTCTTAGAACACCATCGCTTTCAGCGTTTTGACGGGGAAATTCAAACGATGGTATGCAAGTATGTATTGCAGCACAATAGCAACAGTGGTTGCGACCTTCAAATCACCTTTTGTCGTAGGTTTCAAACAACACCTCTTGTGGTCGCCTNTAGACGACAGAGTCCAATGATGGGGAAAAAAAAAAAATGTACGATGCGTAGGTCTTAGAACACCATCGCTTTCAGCGTTTTGACGGGGAAATTCAAACGATGGTATGCAAGTATGTATTGCAGCACAATAGCAACAGTGGTTGCGACCTTCAAATCACCTTTTGTCGTAGGTTTCAAACAACACCTCTTGTGGTCGCCTTTCTGCTGCGAATGCGCACCTTTTGACGTATGTTTCGCCTTCATTGGCCCCGGGGATGGTGCGTTAGTGGCCCCGGAATTTAAGGACACTTCCCCGCGTTGAAGACACTTTTTCTTTAGGAAAACGTGGTGTGCCTTTAAAGCGGGGTCGACTGTACGGTCTAGTCTACCGCCAATCATGCACACAAAGGGGACAACGCGTTTCGTTGACCCCAGAAAGTGTGGGTAAGCAAGGTCGTCCATGTGGAAATAACGGAGCACCCCGAACCTCCCGGGTAGCCGCTTTGCGCGGCTCACGTGCACACAGCGATTTTGGCGGGGCTGCGTCGCAGAGCGCCGCCCTGACGAAGTTCGGCGGTCCACTTACGGTCGAGTGAACCACGTTGGGCACAGGGGAGGGGTCTGCACAGCAGTCTCCCTCTACTGCTGTATTTATTGTTGCACCAGTCTAATCTACCCAATATGCTTGGAATGGATATGGATATAGACCATTCTGATTGTGATATTCATGCCTGTAGTACATAAATACTCCAGAGGGTAAACAGGATGCATTCGGCGAGCGACAGCGTGTTGAGTGCATCCGACGGAGCGCTACGGTAGTGCCGTATGCATGCATACCAGGCTGCTGCTGACATGCTCAGATAGGTGTGTGTATTGTCGTGTAGTGTTCAATGATTTTGATTGTCTCACTATCCACATCTCAGTGTTTTCCGTCTTTCTTTGAGACAGATCTGTATGCCAACAATATCTCGTCAAGACCTCAGGGACGCTACTGTGTGGGGCACTGCCCTCTTTCTCGAGCAGTGGTCGTTGGGCGGCAGACATGGCCTCCGAGATACGGGCGCACAGGCGCACTCCAGCTTTTGTGTGGGATCCCGTTCGCACGCGCTGAAAAAAGCGCTCGAAAAATGTCGAAACCCCGGGGATTTCGTCAGAGCATTTCCCTCGCCCCCCCCCCGGTGTTTGCCATCGGGGTTGGGTTTTCGTCGCTTGGCAACGACGTTGTAAAACAAGCCGCCCC